GGAGGCAGTGGAAGATAGGAGGGCCTGGCGTACTCTGGTCCATGGGGTCACGAAGAGTCGGACACGACTAAACAACGACAAAGTACTCAGAGCATTTTTCTGTGTGTGTTATCGTTTCGTTTAGTCGTGTGTGTGTGTTATAATACATTCTTAAAGATACAGGAAACAGGAGTGGAGGGGGGAGATAAAAATTGTAAAGGTTTTCTGGATGACTTCTCTCCCTGGAAGATCATGCTTTTAAATTGTTATAATACATGCTTAAAGATACAGGAAACAGGAGTGGGGGGGGAGATAAAAATTGTAAAGGTTTTCTGGATGACTTCTCTCCCTGGAAGATCATGCTTTTAAATAAGTTTCTTTTTCTGCCTGATCCAGTGATCCAACAGACAGAGACCAAGACGGGTCCCCATCCATGCGCCTAGACAAGAGATTGGAGGAGTCTGTGTTTGTCCTGCCAGGAGCCTGGCTCGGCTTCAGTCATGTGATAGGAAAGGGAAAATGAGTTTTACACTCCTTCTTTAATTAAAAAAAAAATGCACGCCTTCGTTCTCCGACATCCAGCCCGGAGTGAAAAGGGAGGCAATTTTAAACGGGACGCATTGGAAACAAGAGCCTCAGCCTCTTTCCTGAAGAGCCAAAAGGCGGGCGGGTGAGTCTTTTCTGATCTGGATTTTGCTGGGAAAAGAAACCCCGGGAAAGGATGGGAGGGAGGAAACTTGGGGAGTCATTTCTGGGCAGGAAAGTCAGGGAGAAAAAAAGGATCTTCTTGGTGAGAAGGGGGAACATGGTGGCCGCCCATCTCATCTTCCCGCGGATGATCTGTTATAAAAGCTTACCAATTTTTGCAAATAAATGTGGTGAGCAAAGCACGTGGGCAGCCTTGTACAACGCCAGGGCTAATGTCCTCTTTACGGGATTGCTGGCCTTTAGTATGGGAGGGGAGACTCTGAAACATTAGGAACAGCGAGGAGGAGGCCTCAGTCAGCAGGGGCTGCAGGGGTGACCCTCATGCCCCCCCCACAAGTTTCCCTCCTTGAGCCCCCAGGCCTTTCTCATGTCGGGCCTGAAGAGATGTACTGCTGCTCTCCGTCGTGGGCAGGTATCCCACCTCCAGTGCTCAAAATGGGTCATTTATTCAACTTTATTGTCTGTGTGTGCAGGTAGAGCGATGCCCTTGGCCTCAGGTGGCGGAATGTTTTGGGCCGCCCTAGCCATCTTGAATTTTTATTTATTTATTTTTTATTTTATTTATTTAACTTATATGCCGCCCACACTACCCAAAGGTCTCTGGGCGGCTTACAACAACTAAAATTCAATTAAAATATAATAAAAGATAAAATGATTAAAATACAATTAAAGTTGCCCTCAGGACCCACAGTTGATGTTATTTCAATTAAAAGCCTTCTGGAACAGGAAGGTTTTGACCTGGTGCTGAAATGTCATCAACATCGGCACCAGACGAATTTCAGTCAGAAGGGCATTCCATAGTCTGGGGGCAGTTGCCTAAAAAGGCTTTGTCTACAAGCCGTCCTTCTTAACTCCTTCAGTTTCCCCTCCAACTGCCTCTTTGCAGGGACCACCCTGGGCTGAAGAGAAACATCTCCTTGATCACCACCCCAAAAGCACCCAAAGTGCGGCAGATCCTCTCTGGCTCCTCAGATTTGGAGGATCAGCCCATAAGGTGGATGGCGTGATTTATAAAAAGTCAGCAAGACCTTCCTTTGCCTGTCTCTTGGATTCCCCCCCCCCCAAAGCTGGCTAAGGGGTAGAGGTGGTCGATGGTGCTGCTGCTGCATTTTTATTGATTGATTGATTTTTTTTTGCCTTGACCCTGCTCACACGGGAGTGTTTTGGCTTTCCAGAGCTTCCTACGTACGGTCTGTGAAGGTAGCCTTTGCCCAGCAGGAAAAGAGGGGCTCCAGGACTCTGTGGGAGGCATTGTTGGCTACACAATTAAATGACAAACCAACACATATCTGGCCCCAGTGCGAGAAGAGACCCCAACGTTATCGAGGCAGGAGGCCTTGGGACCTGCTAGGAAAGAATGGCGCAGAAGGTCCAAGGTGAGGAGATGCTCGGCTTAGATACAGAGTGCCAGAAATTCAGAAAATTCTCCTACGAGGAGGCTGATAGTCCTCGACACATTTGCACTCAACTCCACCATCTTTGCCGTCAGTGGCTCAAGCCAGAGCAACGCACAAAGGCTCAGATCCTGGACCTGGTGATCCTGGAGCAGTTCCTGACCATCCTCCCCCTGGAGATGTCCTGCTGGGTGAGAGAATGTGGAGCCGAGACCACTTCCCAGGCGGTGTCGCTGGCAGAAGGTTTCCTGGCTCTGAGTCAGGCAGAAGACCAAACTCAGGAAGAGCTAAAGGTGAGAGCAGTTCATGACAGGGGCTTATAGTCTTCTGTAAGTAGCCTCTGCCTGTTGGGTTTATGGCTGTTCTGCTGGGAGACCTTCCAGTTGAATACAAGGTCTGTCCTCCTTTTGTACTTAGTTTTCTCAGGAAATCACAGGTTTGCTTCTCATTGGACATCACCCAGTTCAGCCCTGTAGCAGGTGTCATGGCTGTTGGGAGAATAACAATCCTGCATGCACCAACACTGGGGATCAGTGGGAGGGGGCTTTTACTGACTTCTTTTCCTGCCTCTGGCATTTGAGGCAATTTCCTGCCTCCACTTCCTGTGGTTTGCTGTAGACTCCATGCATTTCCCTTTTCTCTTTCTGTTAGTAAGGATAGGTTTTTTAAAATACAGTGGTGCCTTGCACAACGGGCGACTCGTAGAGTGATGAATTCGCTCTACGAGGCCGGTTTTGCGATCGCAAATGCGATCGCAAAATGGTGCCCGCATAGGGCGAAAATCGCAGAGCGACCCGCCGATCAGCTGTTCGGCGGCTACAAAATGGCCACCGGATGCCCCAAAATGGCCGCGCGCAGCGTTTTCGTGCCCTTGTAAAGCAAGGGGAGGGTGCGAAAATGGCTGCTGGCCATAGAGAAGCATCGTTGAACGGTGAGTATTCGGCCCAATTGGAACGCATTAAACCATGTTTAATGCGTTCCAATGGGTTTTTACGTTCCGTTCAACGATGCTTTCACACAGCGAGGGTTAATCCGGAATGGATTAACCTCGCTGTGCGAGGCACCACTGTATATATACAGTATATATATTAAATGCTTCTACAGTCATTTTGTTATGCAAAGTACTAGTTTTTTTGGGGGGGGAAAGAAACCAAAGAAGAGACTGGGCTGATCTCTCCAGGTTTCTGTGTTGTTGTTTTTCAAACTCTGGAAAACTCTGCTAACCAAAAATTCCTCAGTGACAAGATGTGGTCCCTTTCCGTGTGTTCAGGAGGAAGAATTATCCATCCCTTTTGGTTTTCCACAGCTACTCCAAGGGGTCAAGCAAATGAGAGAGGAAATCCTACAAATTATTACTATTATTATTATTTTTTTGAGAAACTCAGAGGATGGCATTCCCTCTTTCTCAAGTCCCAGCCTCATCTACTGAGATCTTCCCCTCTGTCTTCTTATTGGATCCTCAGATGAGAAATCTCCCTGTAGAAGCTCTGCCTGATCTCCCCATGGCAGAGGACTCTCCGTTCAACACCAGACAGAGTTCCCACAGATGGGGGATCCAGCAGGGCAGGGAAGGAGACAAAAACTGGATAGGTAAGGATTAATACTCAGAAGGTGTGTGTTTATTTCCTGTGTGAAAGGATTGGAGAGTACGTTGTTCTGTGCCCTCAAGTGGCCCCCAGTTTATGGGTGAAAACAAATTAAAAATAAAAAAAGTGGTGGCCCTTTAAAGACCAACATATTTTATTTTTCATGTGAGCTTCCGTGGACAAGTGGACTGAGACAACCCAGTCCCTCCAGTCTTCAGCACCAATGGATGTTGAGAAAGAGAGGTTTGAGATAGGCAGTGAGACAAGAAATACCCCACCAGACTTGCCATCCGTTTTGGAGAAAGTGGAATCCAAGAAATAAGGCAATGATGTGATTTATGTTTCTGCATTTCTCCAAAAAGTACGGAAATAACTTGGTGGATGTGCTATGTGGCCTCCAGATTGCTTTTAATGCTTTAAGAGAGAGAGATGTAATAGGACTCCTTATCTGCAGGACCAATATCCGCTGATTCACTTGATATTCACTTCTGCAAATATTAAATTAAATACTGTATTAAAAGTATTTTTAAATGTGTGGGGGGAGAGACACATTTTTAAAACCAGAACTGGCCATTAGAGGGAGCCAGAGACTTCGTGGTCAGTCCATACATTGCATGTATGATCTTCAGCTGTTCAAGGCCTGTCCTCTTGCAAGCTTTCTCCTGGAAGGCAGTGGTGGAGGCACCTCCTGCCTGCTGGTTTACCCAGAGGTGTAAAAAAAAAAAAAAAAAAAAAAAAGCTCAGTGCTGGTCAATCTAAGCAGGAAGTGGATGGTGAATTGCCAGCTTGCTTTGCATTCAGGACTGGGATTGCATTCAGGACTGTTTGCTGTAATCCGTATTTTTTTTTTGTCATCCGTGGGAAGGTTTGGAACCAATCCCCTGTGGATACAGGGGTCCTACCGCATATTCATTTAAGTAAATCTCACAGTCTTGTATCCTTCGAATTTCATTTGCAGATACTTTCCAGGACGGGCACATTTCCACACTGGGAACCAGTGCCTTCGACTGGGATGTGAATTCTTTGAAGCCTAAAGAGTTTAGCTTTTAGCAAGCATTTTTAATGTTTATGATCTTTTTTGGAGAGAAGCGTATGTGACAGACTTTCTACCCCCTTTGTCTCTCCTGCAGGAGCCGGAAGGAAGCCGGCAACAGATATTCTGTCATCTCTTCCTTGTGATGGAGCAGAACCAGATCAGGTATGGAGAATATGGTTAAAAAAACACTTTATGTATTGGAATCTCTGCATATTCAAATGTTTCAGTCCTGAATCCGTCTGACCTCTGCTTTTTAACAAAATGTTCCATAGTTTCGATGCTTATATAACAGGCTGGTATGACATGGTGCTCTCTGTGAAAGGAATAGCAGTACTTACTGCATTTGATTGCTGAAAATGGGGATGATTGTCCCCTCTTTTAATTGTGAAGAATGGCCCAAGATCTGTAAGTTATTTGAGGGTTTACAAAACTGAATATGGGGCAGCAGGAATTATTTTCCTCTCCATTTTACCTTGTTCTCAGTAGCTCTCTCTGCCTCTGTTTACTTGTGGATCATCTAAGAGTATAAGAAAAGCAGTGCTGGATCTGACCCAAGGACTGTCCTTATTCCCTTGTTCCGAGTAGCGCGCGCTCTCTCTCTGTTTTCTTGCTAAGAGCGTAAGAGGAGCCGTGATCAATTAGAGCAAAACTGAATATGGGGCAGCAGGAATTATTTTCCTCTCCATTTTACCTTGTTCTCAGTAGCTCTCTCTGCCTCTGTTTACTTGTGGATCAGCTAAGAGTATAAGAAAAGCAGTGCGGGATCTGACCCAAGGACTGTCCTTATTCTCTTGTTCCGAGTAGCGCTCTCTCTCTCTCTCTCTCTCTCTGTTTTCTTGCTAAGAGCGTAAGAGGAGCCGTGATCAATTAGAGCGAAGGCCTACCTAGTTTAGCGTCCTGTTTCTCACACAGGATCCCTAGAAGCCTCCAAGAAGCTCCCAAAACAGGCTCCTCACCCATAGCCCTTTCTCTCCACCTGGTCTTTCCCAGCAACTGAGAATTGGAGACTTCTCTTCCTGCAGGGAACATGTGGCCACGGTGACTAGTGGACCTTGGTAAAAACCTACCCCCAGTTGAAAGGCTCTGAGGGCCATTCATGGCAGTTGAAAATGACAATATAAGATCTAACCACTTCTCTTCATTCGTTGTTTTGGATTAGGAAGGTATCTTTATGAAACCTATGACGAGGCCCTGGTTTCATTCTCCTTTAGGGTCCAGTGACCTTTGAGGAGGTGGCCGTATCCTTCACCCAGGAGGAGTGGGCGCTGCTGGATCCCGACCAGAGGGCCCTCCACCAGGAAGTCATGGAGGAGAACTGGCAAATGATATCCTCTCTAGGTAAAGGCCTCCCTCTTTTCTCTGGGCTGACGTTAATCTCAGGTGTTACCAGTGCAGGAATGGCTAGTAACAATAAGGACAGTGATGACAGTTCTGTGTTGGAGTGATGTCCTAACTCACACTAGCCACTTCAGGATCCATAATGCGGGCCTGGGCAACCTATGGCCCTCCAGATGTGTGGAACTCCAGCATAATCAATTTTGACAGTGTGGAATTGTGGTGATAACCATTGTTCATCTCCATCTGAAGGGCTGAAGGTTCTTAGATTCTGAGGGAGTGGAGCTCTACCTAGGAATGATGTTTCACATCTCACAATTTAATTGTGGAGGCTATTAATTAATAAGTTATCTGGTGATGGTTTGCTGCTTTAGTAAGCTGCCGGACAAGGGCTTTTAAGAATGTGCTTTACTTTTCCATTGCTTGTTTGCAATTACAGTGGTGCCTCACTTGATGGCGTTAATCCGTTCCGTTAAAATTTATGTTAAGCGATATTGTCATCAAGTGAAAGAAAAAAACCCATTGAAATGCATTGAAAACCGGTTCAATGCATTCCAGTGGGTGAAATACCTCATCGTCCAGCGAAGATCCTCCATAGGGGAAGCCATTTTCGGTCGCTGTCTTCCAGAAATAGGTCTGGAAAACAGCGGGCAGCCATTTTGAAAACCCGACGATCAGCTGTTTTTGATCGCTGAGAAGTGACAAGTCAGACAAAAGGCGTAACATCTTTCCTTAGTTATCAGCAAGCCCAAAAGGCTAGATAGGTTTGTAGATGTGATGGGAAAAATTAAAGGTGACAAAAAAGGACAAACTCATGTGGCCTTTAAAAGACTACATTTCTTTCCATGTGAGTTTTTATGCATAAAAGTCCACTTTTGCACAAAATTGCTTTTCATTCCTGTGGATCTGATTGTCTCTTCAGTTCATTCTTTTTTTTCCCCATCCTTTTCCCCAACAGATAACTGGAGGGACAAAAAAATGTGTCCAAAAAGTGAAAATACCTTTATGCATAAATCAGAGTTCACAGAACACAAGAGAATTCATGCAGACGTTGAAAGCTGTATCCGAGAAAAGCCCAACAAATGCATTGTGTGTGGAAAACATTTTGCCATGAAATTAGCACTGATGCTTCACAAAAGAATCCACACTGGAAAGAAGCCTATCATAAGTGAAGTGCCTGTGAAAAATTTAGATTGTAAGTTATACTTTGTGAGCCGTCAGACAGTTAACACAGGAGAAAAATTGTCCAAATGCCAGGACAGTGGAAGATGTTTTTCTCAGAATTCAAACCTTATGATCCACCAGAAAATCCACTCAGGAGAAAAACCGTACAAATGCCAGGAGTGTGGAAAATATTTTGCTAACAATTCAGCTTTTGTGCGCCATGAGAGGATCCACTCAGGAGAGAAACCGTACAAATGCCAAGAATGTGGTAAAGATTTTTCCAGAACTTCTCACCTTGTATATCATAAGAGGGTTCACACAGGAGAGAAACCCTACAAATGCCAGGTTTGTGGGAAACAATTTGTTCAGAATTCACAGCTTGTATGTCATCAGAGAGTCCACACAGGAGAAAAACCATACAAATGCCAGGAATGTGGGAAATGTTTTGCTCAGAATTCAAAGCTTGTGTGTCATCAGAGAGTCCACACAGGAGAAAAACCATACAAATGCCTGGAGTGTGGGAAATGTTTTGCTGATTTTTCTGCGTTTTTGAGACACAAGAAGGTCCACACAGGAGAGAAATTGCACAAATGTGAGGTCTGTGGTAAATGTTTTGCTACGAATTCAGATCTTGTGAATCATAAGAGGGTCCACACTGGAGAGAAGCCTTACAAATGTCAGGAGTGTGAGAAATGCTTTGCTCAGAATTCTGGCCTTGTCATACATAAGAGATTCCACACAGGAGAGAAACCCTACGAATGCCAAGAATGTGGGAAAGCTTTTGCTCGCATTTTTTTGCTTGTGAATCATAAAAGAATCCACACAGGAGAGAAACCATACAAATGCCAGAGGTGTGGGAAATGCTTTGCTCAGAATTCTGGCCTTATGAAGCATAAGAGAGTACACACAGGAGAGAAACCCTACGAATGCCAGGAATGTGGGAAATGCTATGCTCAAAATTCTGGCCTTACGAAGCATAAGAGAGTACACATAAGAGAGAAACCCTACAAATGCCAGGAGTGTGGGAAATGTTTTGCTTTCAATTCACACCTTTTGACTCATCAGAAAATCAAGCACACAGGAGAAAAGCCATACAAATGCCAGCAGTGTGGGAAATGTTTTGCTAAGAATTCAAATCTTGCGAGTCATAAGAGAGTTCATACAGGAGAGAAACTGTAGAAATGCCAAGAATGTGAGAGATGTTTTGTTAGGAGTTCAGATTTTGTGATTTATAAGAGAGTCCAAATGGGAGAAGAACTCTACGAAATCCAGGAGTGTGGAGAATATTTTGCCCAAAATTCACTGCTTGTAAATAATAAGTGGAAACACACAAGAGAGTTATGCTAGGAGTGTGAGAAATATTTTGCTCAGGATCCACACCTTGTGTCCTGTCAGAGAATCCACTCAGGAGCAAATCCCAGTAACATGGGAAATGTTTTGTTTATAGTTCAGATTGCACATGCGGTGAATCACTGGAGAGTTAACATAAGAGAGGAACCAGAGTTGTAACTATAACGTTTGGGGTTCAGAACTTCACATGATACAGTGGGGTCTTGACTTAAGAACGGCTTGAGTTAAGAACTTAGATTTAAGAACCACTCTCTTAGGAAAATATTGACTTGACGTACATACTTAGATTTGAGTTGAGAACTGAAAAAAACACGTGGTGGGGAGGGAAATTATAGTTCAGATTGCACATGCGGTGAATCACTGGAGAGTTAACATAAGAGAGGAACCAGAGTTGTAACTACAAAGTTTGGGGTTCAGAACTTCACATGATACCAGTATACACAGAGGATAAAGGATTAGCAAGGAAGGCCTGGTCCAGAGCGTATAATGACCATTATGGTTCTTCACTGAGTCTATTTTCTATTCTGTCTGGGAAGAAAAGACTGGGAAGGGTACCTGTTCTTGGGATGAGCAGGTTCACATCCTTTCAGCAAGAAGTACTAATGGAGAAATTGACAGGATCTGATGGGAAGCTCCTTTCGATTAAAAACGACACTCAACCCTGAACCTTTCTTGACCTAAGAAAAAAAGAAACAAAATATCCCCCTCTAGTGGTCGAAGGCGGAATAGCAGCTTCCCATTAGTTTCTATGGACGGAAAAGAGCAGATACGGATTAAATGGTTTTCAATGCATTCCTATGGGAAATGCAGATTTGACTTGAGAACTTTTTGACTTGAGAACCGCCTTCCAATACGGATTAAGTTCTCAAGTCAAGACCCCACTGTACCAGTATACACAGAGGATGAAGGATTAGCAAGGAAGGCCTGGTCCAGAGCGTATAATGACCATTATGGTTCTTCACTGAGTCTATTTTCTATTCTGTCTGGGAAGAAAAGACTGGGAAGGGTACCTGTTCTTGGGATGAGCAGGTTCACATCCTTTCAGCAAGAAGTACTAATGGAGAAATTGACAGGATCTGATGGGAAGCTCCTTTCGATTAAAAACGACACTCAAGCCTGGACTTTGTGAAGTGTGATGCAGAAGAGCTTAAGGGATGTTTTCTCATTGTCAGACAGTCATCTCCATTCTGCAATGTCAGTTGAATTCTCCACAGACTCAGGAAGTAGAAGAAGAACATCTTAAACCATAACTTTAATCCCAACCTCTCAGTTCATTTGAATTGTAGAAAACAACTCACAACACACTCAAGATAGAAGTTTTTCTCCTAATGGATAAAGGCTGAATAAGAGTTTCTCCTGAACAGCCCAATTCCACATTTCATTGTAACAAGCTTCTATATTAAACTGATTATTATTCTTCCAATTCCTTGTATTTTCTTTAAAAAACATATTAACCATACTTTTCTCAATCTATGAAACTCCAGATCATTCTATATTATCTCTTTGCTATTTGTTATAATTTCCGTGATATAACTCAATTTATTGATTTTTGCCTGTAATTTTATATAAACGGGGATCCTACTATTATACCTGCTGTTTTTCTAAAACGGAAACATGTTTACTTCTTTATGGCCTCATAGAACATATCATCCCAATATGTTTTTTAAATTAATATTGAGAATCTTAAAATGAAACCAGGATATGGAATCAAACCCTGTTTCCTGGGAAGGGCAACAGAAGTGTGACATTTCCATTTCAAAACTCAGGAACTCAAAGATAAAAAAAATGTTTTGAGTTCAGAGCTGAGACTAAGATTACGGGGTGTATCTTCCATAATTTTACTCCTGGCCAGAGAGTCTTTCCTTTCCTACTCACATCCTTGTCTTCTGTTATGCTTTAGAAGAGCCTCTTCTGCTCTATCAGAAAACATGGCTTCCTCCCTGATGATGTTGCCTGAAGCCATTGCCGGAAGGGGTTCTCCTGCCAAAACACCGACTGGGGTCGGGAGGGGGGAAAGAGGAGGGTAGTGGCAAGAAACAAGGCCCCTGACCATTGCCACCTGCCTCTGTAGCCCAGTCACTCCATATCTAGCTATGGGAAGAATGTGTTGGGCAAGGAGAGAGGGAAGGTGATATCTATTTCAGGCAACAGCTTGGTGGGCCCTGGCTCAGACTGTTGGGCCTTCTCTTCCAGGCGATCATCAGCTTGTCCTGACAGTGCAGCTTTTGCATCCTCAAGCAGGAAATCAAACATGGCACAACTTGCAGCACCTCTGTTGGCATCATGTCTCTTAGTTCTATATCGCTTGTTATGCAGCACTGCTGGCCTTCCCCAGAAATGTTACAAAGCAATCCTGGTAACTCCTGTTCTTCATTATACTTTCCCACAAAAATTCCCAGTGAGGGAGAGCAGCCGAAGGCCTTGCGCCTGTCACAGAGCAAGTGACATAGAGAGATGGGGCTTATTTGTATTCGAATACGAATCTCCCCACACGGCTTGAGTTAATGAGGGTCCACTCGTGCATCCGGCGGTGTCACTCCTCCTTCCGATCACTCCCGAAGCCCCGTTCTCTTCCTGCTCGCTAGCCACTCGGCGGCCATGCAGCGAAAGTCATCCTTTCTCTCTCTCTCTCTCTGCTTGGAGTGGCTAGCAAGCAGGAAGAGAGCGGGGCTCCGGCAGTGACAGGAAGGAATAATGATCTTGATGCCGGACGCGTGAGTGGACGGTCCAGCCCCAGGGGCTTGGAGTGGCTAGCGAGCAGGAAGAGAGCGGGGCTCCAGGAGTGACAGGAAGGAATAATTATCTTGATGCCGGATGCGTGAGTGGACGGTCCAACCTCCGAGGCCAGAATCTCGTTAACGCCAGCTCTGTGGGGATATTTGTATTCATATATGAGTATAAGTACCCCTATCTCTACTCACAAAGCTCGTTAACTCCAGCTGTGTGGGGATATTTGTATTCATATACGAGTATAAGTACCCCTATCTCTACTCACAAGTTCTGAGCAGTAATCCCTACCAGCAGAACCATGTGCTTGGAGCTGAGCATGGAGATGCAGTCAAACAGCCAAAAACACATATGCAAAAATCCAAAGAGCTCCAGGCAGCTGAAAGGTCTCCCTCTGTTTTCAAAACATGTATTTTTTTAAAAAAACGTTGAACAGTGTGAGAATGGCACTGCCTATTTAAAAGAGTAAATTATTGCTTGTGGGGTCTTTGGGGAGCAGTAATTAACCCCCCCTCTCTTTCTTTTCTGAGAATAAAGCACCTAGGGGGGCTGTGGAGGAGCCAGATGGGGACAGTAGGGCACAAAAATAAGGGAGAGGCACACATACCCCAGACCACTTGCCATAGAGAAGGTCCCTCTCCTCCCCTAGAACCAGGTCTGCAGAGCAGAATAGGCAAATCTCAACACACTGCCAAAGAACTCAGATCAATGACAACATTGTGTCTCTTCTATAGCAGTGACTCGCCAGCAAGCTCTAGGGCAGGGATGGCAAATCAGTGGCACGTGGGCCACAGCTGGCACGCGGATCCTTTCATGTGGGTACGCAAGCCATAAGTTGGCAGTTCGCGACTCCCCCCGCCCCGTAGCCAAACCACAAGCTGCTGGTGCTTCAACAGGTGGTGGGCCAGCATCTGGCGCTGGTGGCGGATCCAGAGTGGGGTCTCAAATCTCCATGCCCGGGATTTCCCTTCTGCTGCCACTTCTGGTTCCGACACTGCTGTAGTGCATCCCCTGCTGGGTTGTTGTTTTTCCCCAGTTTGGGTACTCGGGCCCAAAAAAGGTTTGCCGCCATTGCTCTCTAGGGAGAGAGGTGGAAAGGTCCCACCTTCAGTAATACCTTGATTGGCTTTTTGCTTTTGGGGAAAAGGATAGAGTTCTACCTACAGAATTCTTGCCTGGTTATGGACAGAACCAGAACCATGCCTCAGGATTCTTGGTGTTTTTTTTTTTAGTGCTCCCATCAAGTATTACCCAGGATGGAGCTTTGTTTCCATGGGAGTATTTCAGATCCACTTTTGTTTGGTCCTAGGCAGAATAGTGTCTCTCTCCTACTGCAGTGCTTGTGACCCTTTTGACTGAAGAGGCTCTTATTTCTCTGGGATATTCGGCATGGAAAGGATGCGCTCTGCCATTCAGTTCCAGTTTTTCGCCAATCCGTTGGATGTTCTCTGCGACCTCCTTGGGGCAGGGACCTGTACTCTTGTATTTTGTGAAGCATGCTGGAGCCACTGTGGAAACGAGCTATGCCGAGAAGAGACAGGTGGCTTAGATCAAGGAAGAAAATCTAGGCCATTAATCTCAGGAAGTGGGATTATTTTGACACTAAGAGTAGAGGGAGATATATTTTTTAAAAAAGATAAAATTCTAGATGCTGACTTCCCGGCAGATCATGTTTTCCAATAAATTCCCTTTCCCTGCATGATCCAATGACCCAAAGAGGTAGAGAGACCAAGACTCCCGATCCAGGCGCTCTGAGAGGAAATTGAGCAGGTCTGTGTTTGTCCTGCCAGGAGCCTGGCATGGCTTCAGTCACGTGATAGGAAAGGGGAAATGAGTTTTATTCCTCCTTTCCTAAAAATGTAGGCATGCGTGGTCTCATCTGTCTCCCAGAAGAAGAAAAGCTCGGCAACTTTAGAAGGGATGCTTTGGAAGCAGAAATTGATCTATTTATGAGCGAAAGAGAGAAGGTGAGTCTTCTTTATTCCCTGGGGAAGAAAAAACGGAAGAAGAAAGAGGAGGAGGAAAAGGGAGCCATTTCTGAGCAAGAAAGTCAGGCAGAAAAAGGGATCTCCTGGAGAGAAGAGAAGGAGGAAGTGGGGGGACATGGGGGCTCCCCATTTCATCCCCTCCCCTTGGAGTCTTTGGAAATCCTTGGAAAGGTTTGCCCTTTATGCTTGGGATGGAGAACCAGATAGAGTAGGAACAGCAGGAGAAAAAGGCCTCCATTTGGTTGCCTTTGGTTATAATAAATAAGTGATAACCTGTAAAGGAGCAGAATTAGTATACAGTACAGTGGTGCCTCGCTGGACAGTTACCCCGCGTGACAGTTTTTTCGCTAGACATTGACTTTTTGCGATCACTATAGAGATTCGCAAAACAGTGGTTCCTATGGGGGAATTTCGCTGGACAATGTTTGGTCCCTGCTTCGCAAACCGATTTTCGCTAGATGACGATTTGCTTTTTGCTAGACAATGATTTCGCTAGACAGCAATTTCAGTGGAACGGATTATCATAGTCTAGCGAGGCACCACTGTATAGTACAGCTGAAGACGTTTAGAAATAGAAAAGATTGTTTGTATAAAGTGAAATGATCTCCCTTTTTGTGTGTTTGTGCCAGGCGTTGTATATTAAAATAATCGCTAACATCTTGGTTAAAATAATAAATAAATCTGACTGATTATAAATTGCGTAATATAACATATTAGTGCTTAGATATGGTTGGTATGACAGACATTCTCTGGTCGATAATTACCTCTCTTATCAGAATACTTTTGCATTCCTAGTATTTATTTTGTCCTAGTACCTATTATAGTCTCCCTGCAGAAGCTCAGTCTGCTTTCCCTGTGGCAGAGAAAAAGGTCCATTTGACACCAACCAGAGCCTCTCGCAACAAAAGATCCATCAGGACCACAGAGGAGGTGCCACCAACAACAGGTAACAAACTGTGCTAGTAGGTTGTGTGTTTGTCCTTCTGTGAAAGGAAAGGAAGATCTATGTGGTTTATTAATTTGTTTGTTTTTGTTCCCTGACTCTTTGAGGCTGGGATTGGGTGGGTGTATTCTTCTTTAGCTCTTTCTAGACTTGAAACCTGTGCCTTGATTTTCAGTCTTCTAAGATTTTTTGCATAGCAGGCAGTTCCTCTTTCTGTCCTGGAGGACAAGGGCAAAGAGATGCATTTTCACCTGTTTGAAGATGAAATCCTATGCAGTATAAATTTGGGACCACACAGATCCTGACACACATGCTTCAATGACAGATACTTAATTTGTTTGTGGATTATATTTATATCCCACTTTTCTTCTAATGTGCTCACAGATGTCTTGCTAAGCCCCTTGTCCTCTCTAAAACCACCTCGTGAATTAGGTCAGGCTAAGAAAGATTGAATGGCTCAGTAGGTCTTGTGATTCCACTGGGAACAGAATGGGATCCCCCGAATCCACACCGGAACTCATTAGTTCCACAATGTTTTTGCATCATACCCCCTTTTCATGCAAAGAAATATGAATGCTTCCCCATGTTTCCTTTACAGTCATCCTGCACTTTTTAAAGAGAAAAGATCAGTTTGTAATTTTAAATGAAAAATTAACGTAACAGATTTTTTGGGGGTAGAAAAGTTACTGGAAATGTAATTAATGGCCATTTGAAAATTTTAACATAATAGTTAACAGGATCAGATGATTCACTGATGGAAAAACTGTACAGGCAGAGGAAGCATCAGGCAAACAAAAAGGCAGTTATTTCAGAGTAGGGGGAAGCCTCTGTCTTGTTGAGACATTTGGTACGAAAGGAAATTGGGAAAAACAAGCTGAGAAACAAGCATCAACCAGCCAGATTTCCTATCAATTTTGAAGAAAATAAAGTCAAATGAATTAGGTGAAATCTCACTTCATGTTTTCCTATTTCCCCCAAAAGTGTAGGAAAATGGTAGGTGGGTGTGATTTGTGTTTCTTTGTTGGTGGTCTCCAGGCTTCTCTGAAATAGTGAAAAATATTATTTGACATGATGGAGAAATCCTGAGGTTTAGCCTTGCCAACTATTGTGGAAATGTCCGTAGTCAGTTAAAATATCTCACAGTCTTGTCCCCCTCTTGGAGTTTCATTTGGACACACTCTCTGGTGGGGGCACAGTTTTCACTCTTAAGAACCACTGCCTTTTACCAGGATGTGAATCCTTTTGTGTTTAAAGGGTATACTTTTTAGCAAGCCTTCTTCTGATTATGATCTTATTCTCAAAAAAGATTGTCTGATTGGCTTCCCGCCCCTTTGTCTCTCCTGCAGGGGCCAGAAGGATGCCAGCAACAAATATTCCATCCTGTCTTTTTTGTGAGGGATCAGAACCAGATCAGGTACAGAGAAGGCAGTGAAAAGACACCCTGTGTATTTCTAGTCCTTGTGTATTCAACCATTTTGGTCCTGAATTAATCGGGCCATTTCTTTTTCATGAAATGCTCCACATTTTTAATGCTTAGAAGACTTCTATGACATGGTCCTCTCCTTGTTCCAAGTAGATGTCTCTCCCTCTGTTTTCTGGCATGGATAGCTAAGCGTATCAGAGGAACTGTGTGCAGTCAGACAAAAGACTGATCTAGTTCCTCACAGAGGCTCCCAAAATCCTTCTGGGAAGCTCCCAAAGCAAGCAGGCCACCAGTAGCCCTTTCATTCTCCCTGTTGATCCCCAGAAACTTGCATTTGGAAATCTTACTTCCTGGGGGGAACAGGTGGCCAAGGGGACTAGTAGCCCTTGGTAAATGTGCCCTTCAATAGTAAGGCTTGTGAAGTCCATTCATGAAAGTTGAAACCTACAAAGTAAATTCCGGCCACTTCTCTTTATTTGTTGTTTTGATTTAGGAAGTTACCTGCATGAAACCTATACAGAATAACTGCTTTCTTTTTTCATTAAGAGACCAGTGACCTTTGAGGAGGTGGCTGTGTTCTTCACACAGGAGGAGTGGGCGTTGCTGGATCCCGACCAGAAGGCGCTGCATCAGGAAGTCATGGAGGAGAACTGGCAAACTGCCTCCTCTCTTGGTAAGGCCCCCTTTAGCTGATGCTCATCTCTAGTATTAGCTGTGCCATAACTGATAACAATGACAGCAATGTGAATGCTTCCATGTTGAAATTATGTCCCAATTCACACTAGCCTCTGTGATATCCATAATGCCAGACTGGGCCACCTGTGGCCCACTCAGTATGCTGAGCTCCAGCTACCATTACCGTAGCAAACTTTGCCAAATTGGGATCATGATGAGAATAATCATTCATGAACCTCAGAAGGGCTGAAGATTCCCAGATTGCACTATAAGTTTCTGGAGAGGTGCATTTCCAACCCCAAATAGCTTCCCCCCCTTTTTTTGTTTCTTTTTCGTCCTCGTGGCATAAAAATGAAAAGTGACTCAGCAATGTGGTGTAGTGGAAGAAAAGTCCAATACACTTTTAAGATGCATCCACAGATCTGTCGTGTCCAGACAACAGCAAAATAGCGCTGATTTCTGCTTTGGTTAGACTTACCCTCGAATTTTGTTTCTGGTTCTGGAATTCACCATTGAAGAAAGACAGTGAGAAAGTGGAACATGTTCAGAAAAGGCCAGCAGTGAAGAGTCTGAAAAGCAAGCCCTGGGAAGAACAGTTGAGGGTTCCGAGTTATGCGTATCCTAGAGAGGAAAAAATTGAAAGGGGATGTGATAGTTATCAGTAAATATTTGGGTGGCCAGTTATTCCTTCCTTCTTTCCTCCCTCCCTCCCTTCTTTGCCACAAATGCCACTCCTGTGAATGCTTTGATCTGTGGTTTGTCAATTAATTTGAGAGAAGTCTCAATAAGCAATGAAAGGTTGACAGACGTCCTGACTTTTCCCGCCTTATTTGCTGCACTCCACCCTCTGCCAAACTGCTACCCTCTCTCCTGTATTGGTCACACATAAAAGTTAAACTAAATTTTAGAAGGGCAAGGAAAGTCTTATAAAATACCAAATGACCTTGAAGGAAACTGTGCATTTTCTCTTGGTTATTCTTTAGATGTGATGGGAGATTAAAGAGGAATACTCAAGGAATAAATGATTAACTGTTGTGGCATTTGAAACATTTAAGAGTTTTCATTCCATGTGAATTTTCATGCATCTTCTTCAGAAAACCTTTAAAAACCTGTTCCTGTCATTAGTTGATTCTTTTCTGCATTTTTCTTTCTTCCCAGAAATTATCCATAGGGAGATAAGTGTATGTCCCCACTGTGGAAAGCGTTTTAGATACAAATTAGAGCTTGTTGAACATCCAAGAACCCACACGGAAGAGGAAAGGTATATCCGAGAGAAGCCCTACGAACATATTATGTGTAGAAAACAGTTTGCCACAAAGAAAGCGCTGCTACTTCACAAAAGGGTCCTCACCGGAAAGAAGCGCTTTGTAAGTGAACTGCCTACGAAGTCTTTGCATCGTGAGTTACCTCTTGTTAGTCATGTAACTGTCCACAAAAGATGGGAAGAATACAAATGCCAGCAATGTGGGAAGTCTTATAGCAGCAGTTTCAACCTTCTCATTCATCAGAGAGTCCACACAGGAGAGAAACCATACAAATGCCAAGAGTGTGGGAAATGTTTTTCGTACAGTTCACACCTTGTGACTCATAATAGAGTCCACACAGGAGAAAAACCCTACAAATGCCAAGAGTGTGGGAAATGTTTTGCTCGGAGCTCACAACTTTTGAGCCATAACAAAGTCCACACAGGAGAGAAACCATACAAATGCCAGTATTGTGGGAAATGTTTTGCCCACAGTTCACAACTTGTGAACCATAAGAGGGTCCACACAGGAGAGAAACCCTACAAATGCCAGGAGTGTGGGAAATGCTTTGCTCGGAGTTCACAGCTTCTGAGCCATAATGAAATTCACACAGGAGAGAAACCATACAAATGCCTGGAGTGTGAGAAGTGTTTTCCAAACAGTTCACAGCTTGCAAGCCATAATAGAGTCCACACAGGAGAGAAACCCTACAAATGCCTGGAGTGCGGGAAATGTTTTGCTCAAAGTTCATCACTTGTAATTCATAAAAGAGTCCACACAGGAGAGAAGCCCTACAAATGTCAAGAGTGTGAGAAATGTTTTGCTCGAAGTTCAGATCTTGTGACTCATAATAGAGTTCACACGGGAGAGAAACCATACAAATGCCAAGAGTGTGGGAAATGTTTTGCTCACACTTCAGATCTTTTGACTCATAATAGAGTTCACACAGGAGAGAAACCATACAAATGCCAAGAGTGTGGGAAATGTTTTGCTTACAGTTCACACCTTGTGACTCATAGTAGAGTCCACACAGGAGAAAAACCATACAAATGCCAGGAGTGTGGAAAATGTTTTGCTCAGAGTTCGCGACTTCTGAGCCATACAAAAGTCCATACAGGGGAGAAACCATACAAATGCCAGGACTGTGAGAAATGTTTTGCCCACAGTTCACAGCTTGTGAGCCATAAGAGATTCCACACAGGAGAGAAACTTCACAGATGCCAAGAATGTGAGAAATGTTTTGCTCACAGCTCACAACTTCTGAGTCATAAGAAAATCCATACAGGAGAGAAACCATACAAATGCCAGGACTGTGAGAAATGCTTTCTCCACAATTCACAGCTTCTGAGTCATAAAAAAGTCCATACAGGAGAGAAACCCTACAAATGCCAGGAATGTGGGAAGTGCTTTCTCTACAATTCATTGCTTGTCTCTCATAAGAGAGTCCACACAGGAGAGAAACCATACAAATGCCAGGAATGTGGGAAATGTTTTGCTGACAGATCACATCTTGTGAGTCATAAGAGAGTCCACACAGGAGAGAAACCATACAGATGCCAGGATTGTGGGAAATGTTTTGTCTACAATTCACTGCTTGTGAGTCACAGGAGAGTTCACACAAGAGAGAAACCATACACATGCCTGGAGTGTGGGAAATGTTTTGCCAATAGTTCACAGGTTGTGAGTCATAAGAGAATGCACACAGGAGAGAAACCATACAAGTGCCAGGAGTGTGGGAAATGTTTTGCCGACAGTTCGCAGCTTGTGAGTCATAAGAGAATGCACACAGGAGAGAAACCGTACAAATGCCAAATTTGCGGGAAATGTTTTGCTGAGAATTCAAACCTTGTGAGGCATAAGAGAATCCACACAGGAGAAAAACCATACAAATGCCAAGAGTGTGGAAAATGTTTTGCTGAGAATTCAAATCTTGTGAGGCATAAGAGAGTCCACACAGGAGAGAAGCCATACAAATGCCTGGATTGTGGGAAATGTTTTGCCAACAGTTCACACCTTGTGAAACACAAGAGAGTCCACTCTGGACAGTAACACTTCAGATATGAATAAGACGGAAATTGTTTCTCCTTTTGTGTGACAAAAGTATTGTTTTAGGAAATGAGCTGTACAAATGACAGGAGTGGGGAAAGAAATTTTTACAATTGACATACTGCTTGAAGTTCATTCTTATGCTCTTCATGGATATGAGGGAACTCATTGTTATAGTAGTTCTAGATAGGTTGTTATGAAGCTACAGTGGTGCCCCGCATAGCGACGTTAATCCATTCCGGATTAATCATCGCTATCCGGAAACATCGCAGTGGGGCAAAAATTCACTGTTATGTGAAGATCTTCCATAGTGCCGCCTTTTTCGCCACCTCGGTAAGCGAGGGCAGCACACGGAAATGGTTGTGGCAGCCATTTTGGGCACCTGGCGGCCATTTTGGAACTGCCGATCAGCTGTTCCCAAAACATCGCAATGCGAAGATCGGTAAGCGAAACGCTTATCGATCATCGCAATGCGATGTTTTGCCTATTAAAACATCTCAATGCGATCGCATAAGTGATCTCAAAAAATAGATCGCTATGTGGATTCGTCGCTAACGGTGAGCTCGTTAAGCGAGGCACCACTGTATTTTTTTTTCTTTTATTTGGCTTTCATATTGCCCATCTGGCTGCAAGGCCACTGTGGGCAGTTTACAATGTGAGAAAACAAAACTATAAAAAATTACACTAACACTTAAATAAATCAGACATAATAGTTACACCAAAATCAAAATCAAGATCAAAATTGCAATATACCATCAAAATCACCAAAACAACAGGAACACAAAGAAATACAATGTTTAAAAAAATTAACAGGCAAGATGGTGAAAGAAAAATAAATGTTGAGACTGCTACTGCATTATCATGATGTAATCTTTGGGAAAGCCTGTCTGTAAAGCCATGTCTTAAGAGATCATTTGAAGGCTGTGAGTGAAGGGGCCAGTTGGATTTTGGGGAGGAGGTTTTTCCAGAAGTGGGTTAGTTGACTGACATTAAGCTCTGGTTTTTAGTCTTCTCTTTCTGGACCTTTCTCAGGGTCAATGTTCTTATCTGCATATTGGTGCCACAAAGCTCCAGAACTCCTGATGACTCCCTGAGGGGCCTCATATAGGTATTAAACAGCAATGGGGAGATGATCCACCCCCGTGAGACTCCACAGTTGAGAGTCCAAGGTGTGGACATCTTCTCCCCAAGCTGTACACTCTGAGGACGGTCCTCAAGGAAGGATCAGAGCCAGGACAAAGCCAAGCCACTGATCCCCATTCTAGAGAGCCTCCCAGGAGAGTACAGTGGTTGGCAGTATCAAAAGCTTCCGATAAATTGAGGAGGACCAGCAAGGTCATTTTGCCTCCATTCAGTCTCCCTCAGAAGGTCATCTTGCAGGGCGAACAGTACCATCTCTGTGTCATGACACGGCCTGGCCCATACTGGAATGGATCAAGGGCTTTGGTCTCCATGAGGGACTCTAGCTGATCAGCCATGACACGGCCTGGCCCAAACTGGAATGGTCTCCATGAGGGACTCTAGCTGATCAGCCACCACTCTCCATTAGCTTGCTTAAGGATGAGACATTGGCAACGGGTCTATAGTTGTTAACATCGTCCACCGCCAAGTTTAGTTTTTTTAATGGATGAGCCCAATGAGTGTCTCCTTGAGGGCAAGGGGAACCCTGCCCTCACGGAGAGACCCATTAATTATAATCATGGCATCTTTAGAGGTCTGGTTGCTTTTATGAACCAGGAAAGGTAAGAACCTAGGGAGGATGAGGTGGGCCTACAGCAATTCAGCTGTCATTTATTCCTTCAAAATATTTTTACCCCAGCTTTCTCCTTAGAAAGGAACCAAGGCAGTTTACAACAGCAAAAGACAATATTAGAAACTAAAAACAGTAAGTATACAAATACTAAAAAGGATCAAATGACTACAGCACATAAAAAAAACTGAGGAAAGGCAACAAGAAAACAACATTCAAAGTACAACCATCCATTAAAAAATCAAGGCAGTCAATCACTACTTGCAGAATAGCTAATAAAGGCCCAGCCTGGCCTCCTGTGGGGGGGAGTTAAGTCTGGAAGCGGTAATGGAGAAGGCTGTCTTCTATGTCCACACAAAATGGCCGCCTAGAGTGATCCTATGTGATTCAGATAGGCGGGATATAAATTAAATAAATAAATAAATAAATAAAATAAAAATAAAATGGACCTGTGAAGGTGGTGGGTCTGAGAAAAATCTATTTATGTGTTACATTTATAGCCCGCCCATCTAGTCGTACTGATTACTCTGTGTGGGTAACAATATATCAAATCTAAATACAGTTTAAAATCATAACATATTATTAAAAAACACAATGATCCAGATGGGAGAAGGCACAAAAAACAGAATCAGATGGTGGATGGAGGAAAGGCTTGCTTGAACAGCCAGGTTTTCAGTTGGCATTTAAAGATGCCCAGAGAAGGGGCCATGCGAATCTCAGGAGGGAGGCTATTCCAAAGATAAGGACCCAACGCTGAGAAGGCCCAGTTTCTTGCTTTTTACTTCCGGGACTCCCTCGGCGTTAGGCTCCTCAGTCTCACCTCCTGGCTAGATCAAGTGGTACGGGTAGACCTAGGTGGGAAAAAACGTTCCGTCAGGTAACAAGGCCCTAAACCATTTAGGGCTTTAGATGTGTTAAGACTTTGAAATCTTTTATCAGACAGTCTGATCATCTTAACACCCAGACAAGCTCATAAAGAGAGATGTGGTCCTTGACATAATTCAACCCAAGCCCTTTTAAGGCATTATAGGTTAGAACTAGCACTTTGAACTATGCCTTGAAGCAGATTGGCAGTCAGGGGAGTTGCTATAATGGAGGTTATGTGATCCGCGTAATCGTGAGATGTATGACAGTCCACCCAGGAGAGAAACCAGGCAAATGCCAGGAATGTGAAAAATGTTTTGCTGACAGATCAGATCCTATGAGTCATAAGAGACTCCACACAGGAGAGAAATCATCAAATGTCAAGAGCGTGGGAATTTTTTTTGCTCAGAGTTCAGTTCTGACTCAAATGAGAGTCCACACGGGGAAACCCATACAAATGTCAGGAATGTGGGAAATATTTCCCTCAGACCTCACAGCTTTTGAAGCAGAAGAGAGACCAAACAGGAGAGAAGCCCTTCAGATTCTTGTAACATGGGAAATCGTTGATTTCTGGTTCAGATTCTGTATATTGTGAACTACAAGAGAATCACTATAGGAGTGGAGCCACATTAATGACAGGAGTCTGAAAAACCATTTGAAGACTCCAGGCAATCCAACTCGGGACATAATGCATAAGAGGATTCTGTTGCAACTCTTGGCCTGAACAAAATGAGGAAACGAGCTCTATGCCATTTTTAAAGTAATGCACCAGAGCTGAAAGTACTGATTTTGGTGTCCCTATCAGTGTAAAATATTGGAATTAAAAACATCTCATGTCAGAGTTTGGTGAGAAGTCCAAGGGATGTATTCTGATTTTCAGGAGATGGGTCCCCTTCTGGAAAAAGGGTGAAATTCTCAGCAGATTCAGGAAGTACAAGAAGAGCACTGAAACCCTAACCTCAATCACAACTTCTCAGTTAATTTTAATTATAGTGGGAGCAGAAAGTGACTCACAGCAACTTAGGGAAAGGCTTTTTGAACTCCTGGTGCATAAAGTTTCTGCTGAATAGCAATATTTGCCATCCCAGTTGAAGACTGGCACGTTCTTGTTTGTTGGATGAATTTACTAGATCTTCAGAGAAATCGAAACCCAAAATGGTACTTGGTGAACAATTAGTGCAAAGGAAGAAATCTCAGGCTGAAACACTTAGAATTGTGCAGAAATTGCAGTAGTAGTTAACAACTTGCCGGTTGTATCCCTTTTTTTGTACAGTTTGATGTGGTTAATTGTAACTAATTGACGAGCTACTTAGATGCATCTCTCTTTTTTGCCACCCCCTGTACTTTGTCGATTAGCTGCAGAAATTTACACAAATCATATGCAAACCAGAAGTATTCTAGCCACTAAATACTTGCCCAATTTGGAGGCACCACATGCCAGGGATGGGGACTTCCCCCCCCCATGACTTGAACTGAACTCATGACTCAGAACCCACTCACCCCTCCCTTTTTTGGGTGGGGGTGCTTGTTCTGAATAGGGACTTGGACTTGGGACTTGGTACCAAAGACCTGGACTTGAGAGACTTGGACCCAAAGATTTTCCAACATCCCTGCTCTATGCTAATGACTATTTTCCTTTAATGGGATATTTTATTGCTCAGAGTGGTCCCATTTGGAGTCAGCAGAGCAATTTGGGAATTGCAAGTGTCTCTACTGAGGCAGGTTTGACATTTTAAAGCTTAATACTCAAAATAAATGTTTCATATGCATGATTTTCTAGTCTGCTTCTTTTTTCCCCTTATCCTGGTATCATATGTAACTATGGTAGCCCCTCCAGAGAGAATTTCCTATTTTGTAAAATTGCTCCCATTTTTGCTACATGTGTTTTATTTTGGCAGACTTTTTTTTGAGGAGAATCAAAATGCTAATCCTGCCTGCAGATGATACAAAATGTGGACTAGTTAAAACCCTGAGAGATGGGCCAAACATTGAAAAAGATCCTGATAGGATAGTGCACTGGCCTGAAAACACAGAATGATGTTTACCAGATAAGTGTACTGTTCTACACTGGGGATGGGGTGCGGTGGATGAAAAATTGAAGATAATGGATACTTTCCTCATTAATAATATGAACAGGTAATATCTTGGAATTATAGGTCAGAATTTGAATATATAAGCCAACAGTGCAAGGTGGCTGAGAATGAGGCAAATGCTTTTTAGGCTGTTTTAAGCAAATTATAGTTGCCAAATCCTGTGAAAGACTAAATCCTCTCTATTCAGGCCTGGTTAGGCCTCACCTCAAATACTGGCCAGTGCACTTCAAGGCCCACAAATTGGAACAAGTTCAGAGGAGGGCAACAAGGATGATCAGGGGACTAGAAACCAAGCCCTGTGAGGAAAGACTGAAGGCATGTTTAGCCTTGAATAGAGAAGACTGAGGGGAAAAAGGATAGCACTTTTCAAATACTGTACAGTGTACCTTTTTAGAGCTGCTTTTGTACAACTCCAAAAAACAAATATGCTTGAAGCACAGCAAATGAATAGAGCAAAACAAAGAGCAAAAAAAAGGGGGGGGGAGGGGACAAGAGCCAAAGTGCTTCCAGCAGCTGACAGAAAAGTCTGCTTCTCTTTTCAAAAACTGCTTTTAAAAAATGTTGAACTGTGGCACTCTCAATATTAAAAAATGCTGCTTATAGAACCCTCAGAGCGGAGCAATTCAACTCGCTTTTTTCAGAGACCCTGCCCTACCCTTGCAAAGAAGAAAATAATAAGCTAGGGGATATGAAGGCATCTGACGGGGCCAGTAAATAAAAAAAAGCCACAGGGAGGAGTGGAAATTATTAAAAATACTAAGACTAGGCAGGTGCTTTAAATCAGAGAGAAAAAAAACCAAAAACTGTCCAGCAGTCTCAGGCAGAGGGATAATTTTGATCCAAGAAAGAGAGACGGAAAAAAAAAAGGTCAAATTGTAGAGGCTTTCCAGTTCACTTCACTCCCTGGAAGATCATGCTTGTTTAGATAAATTCCCTTTTCCTGCCTGATCCAGGGACTCAAAAAGAGAGAGAGCGAGAGAGACCAAGACTCTCCCATCTAGGCGCTCCGACAGGAGATTGGAGGAGTTTGTGTTTGTCCTGCCAGGAGCCTGGCTCGGCTTCAGTCACGTGATACACAGCTATTTAAAAAAACACAACAACACGTGTAAACATTTGTTCTCCCGACCTCCAGCCTGGAGTGAAAAGGGAGGCAACTTGAAACGGGACGCTTTGGAAACAAGAGCCTTTCCTGAAGAGACAAAAGGCGGGCGGGTGAGTCTTTTCTGATCTGGATTTTGCTGGGAAAAGAAACCCCGGGAAAGAGAAGAGTAAGAAAGGAAGGGAGGGAAACAGGGGAATCATTTCTGGGCAGGAAATTCGGGAAGAAAAGCGGTCTCCTGGTGAGTAAAAGAAGGGAGGGAGAAGGAAACGGTGGCTCCCCGTCTCATCCCCTCCCCTCTGAGTCCTTGGAGATCCTTGGGAATGTTTGGAGCTGAATTTGATGAGCGAAACACGCGAGGAGCATGAGGGGCGGGGGAGGGACGGGCTTGGTTCCTCTCGATGGGAGTTTCTGGCCCTTTCGTGTGAGAAAGCCTAAGGAGGAAGGTTTAAGAAGAGCGAGGAGGCGGCCTCAGGTGGCAGAAAGAAGAGGGGCAGCCCTGAGGCCCCCCAACCCTCCCCCCATGAGCCCCTTTTTGGCCTTTCTCTTCTTGGGCCTCCAGAGCTGGACTGCTGGCCTCCTTCGGAGCCATTAATCCACATTGTCCCACCTGCAGTGTTGAAACTGGGGCATATATTTAATTTCTTCGTCTGTGTGGAGTATCTGTCTAAGAGGCCGAAAGGGAGCAGGATTTTCTCCTGTGCTTCAGGCAGCAGAATATCTTGGGCCATACCAACACTCTTTAATGGGCTCTTTTCCATCTGCCTCTTTGCAAAACACCACCCAAAGTGCCCCAGATCCTGTCTGGCTCCTCCACCTCCAAGCCCTCTCCCTCCTCCTCCTCCTCCATGGTTTTTCATGTCCCAAAAGATTCAAGATTTCTTTGGTGGGAACAAGGTAGATCTATGATTTGTGGGTGGTTTGGGGAAGATTCCATGGAAAAATATTCTTATGAAAGCATGAGAAAATACTTTTGATTTAATGGATCCATTTTCTTATCTTATAGGCTTCCAACATGGAGGCTTAGCAAAGGTTAACAAAAAAAAAAGGGAATGTAAATGGAAATAAATAACTAAAGAAAAAGAGTCTAGGGTATCATTGATGATGCTCCTGATGCCTCCCCAGATTCAACCAATCAGGTGGACGGAAAGATATTTAAATTCTGGAAGAGGTCCCTTTGTCTGTCTTTTCTTTGTTCCCCCTCTCCAGCTGATCCCAGGACAAGGAGAGGTGAGAGACCATGGCTAGTTTCTTCTGGGAAGACCATCAGGGGCATCTTTATAAATCACTGCATTTCCCTGGATTTCCAAATGAAATTGGTCACTGACGAGTTAGTAGTCTCGCCAAGCACTTTGCCTTCTGATTTCATTTCAAGGTGCTAATGTAAATTTAGCTTCAGGCATACTCTTCAGATGCAAGAAAAATATGTCTTTACTAATTAGAACAAAAAAATAGCATAATACAGTAATAAGATTACTCTTTCCTTAGGAATAGCCAAAGCTGCTAAATGACACAACTGGGTTTTGAATTACCCACTTTGCTCTCTTCTGAGCTCTGCAAAAGGGTCCAAACCTGTTCTGCATATTATGTAAACAAAGTTTTGGCTCTTGTTCTCCCCTCTTGCTGCCTTCTCTGGTTGATGTTTCTTTTGTCAAAAGAAAGAGGAAGGGATCCTGAAAATGATGAAAGAGGGAAGAAAAAGACCAGAGAGGGAGAGGAAAGTGTGGCTTCTGTCAAAAGGTATACCAGGGATCTGTTTCTCCCTTCCTGGGATCTGGGGAGTAGCCTTGTTTTCCCCATTGCAGCTGGGAGGGATGGTGAATCTGCCTGAAAGGGTGGTGGGGCCTGGGAGAGGCCAGAGAGAGGAGAGGGGCTGGAGGAGAATCCAAGGTTATGATGATCCAAACCATTTGGCTGCCTGAGGACCAAATCCACTTCATTACACATCTACCTACAAAGAGTGGAATTTGGAAATTTCCTTGCTCCCATTGAAGGGAAGGGGCTTTCCTCTTGGGCTTCAGAGGGGAGGCTGGGGGAGACAACTCTGTAGGTCAGCTGCCTCAGAAAGGATAGTTGGCAAACATTACTGGTTCACTAACCACAAATCCATCATCTGCTAACTGCTGTGATCATCTTACGTTTGCTTTACCCCTGGGTGCATGAAAAGTGGGAATTCAAAGGTGTTAGCTAATAATTATGAGAAATATTACGAAATCTCTAGAATCAGGGTTCTGTCCTGTGCTGAACCTTTTCCTGTTCGAGAAATGTAGCTCTAAGCTACCGTAGATAAGAAAAAACCCTCCATCTCTGGTGGAACAAAAGGAAGGAATAATGTTACGAAATTGATTTCTTTTTCTTCTAAGTATTTTGAAAAGATCCATCCGGGTGGCAGATTCTTCCATGTCTGACCCTCTGAGGGCCTGAAACACTTTGGTCAGTGGCTGTCCAGTGAAGGAAGAGCCCCACATGCCTGTCTCTCGGCTCAGCCTTGGGATTCTCCTGCCTTTCTTTTGGAGTTGAGGTTTGATTGGCGGCTGCTGTTTTGCCTTTTTTTGCCTTAACTGTGTTAACACGGCAGGGTCTTCGCTTTGCAGATCTTCCACAATCTGGTCTCTTAAGGCAGTCTTTCCTCCGCAGAAAGAAAAGGGTTCCAGGACTCCATTGGAGGCATTTTTGGCTACAGAATAAAATGGCAGGCCAGCACACATCTGGCCCCAGGGAAGGAAGAGACCCTGAT